TTGCGACTTATTTAATTCTCCTTCCAATAAGACCAAGAAAGTCTCCCTTCATGTCATAAGTGTAGATCAAGCTAAAACATATAGAGCTAAATTGCAAATTTCAGCAATCCCTGGCCAGAAATTGTGTTTGTGATGCAGAAATTGTGTTTGTCTTGTTCATTCTCAAATTTTTTCCTTTCTTCTTTTCTTTTTTGAGGTGGGGGAGACTCAAAGAAAGAAGAAAAAATATAATTTAATAAATGATCACTTAGCTTTGCATCATAATCAACCATTCAAATTTTTTTACATCATTTTATTATACTCAAGTTACAATTACAATTAAGGACTATAAATCTTCAAATTACCAGTACTTTTAATGCATAATAATTCATAAGAAAAATATTTTTTTAAAAAAAGTGATTGAACCACCCATCAAAATTTTTATATCAGAGGCTAAGTTTGCACTTTCAACTATCTTTGCCTGAAATATTTTTGAAATTGAAGAGGGCGAGTTGCCAGAAATCAGCTCCTGAAGTTACTCAACTCCGTTGATCAAAAAACTGCAAAACAGACCCATTTACTAAATAAGCAAGATAATTATTTGCAAACAAATGTGTTTAAATGACAGATTATTTTATTCTGAACAAAATAAAAAAAAATTATTGCTCTATGACAAATATAAGGTGAGTTACAATCATTAATAGCCTTTGATGTATGAATCAAAATGGCGGCAAATGTGCCATTTTGGCAAAAATATAAATGCTTATAACTTTTAAACCCCTTAACTGATTTAAATATAATTGATATTTTTGAAATCAGCATCAAAAATTCTATAAGTGTACAAATTTTCATCAAAATCTGAGATGGTGAGTGCCATGGCTGGATGAACTGACATGGAATGACCCTGGGAGCATTTGGATGCCATGTCGAAATAACTCCTCATCTTCCACGAATCGATCCTTTCCTTGGTTTCTGTAAATTATCTAAATTTCTACTCAGACAGAAATTCTGCATCGACCGAAGGTGATTATCTGAAGGGACCAGGTCTGACAAATACGGCGGGGGGGGCGGTCTGAACTTCTCACTGAAGTGTTTCTAAATAGCAAAATTGATGTTCAATGTCTCTCTTGTCTTCAGTTGGAATGGAATCCAACTTCCTTATTTTTGGATCATTACCTGCAATTTTAAACGATGTTAGGTTGCTGAGTCGCCTGTAATGTAAGAGCAAGTTCTTTTTGCGTTTGAGACAAATCTTATTCCAATAATTCCTTGTCTTCGTACAGTTTCAGCCTTCCACGGCAAACTCACTGCTTTTGAACTTCTGCAACCACTCACGACAACTCCTCTCACTTAAAGCAAACTCACCCTATGCTTCTCTAAGCAATCGATCCTCAGCTGCGAGCTTCCTTAAATTAAAGAAGTAAATCAAAAGTTCCCACAAATGACCCTTATTTGGCACAAAGTTTGACATTTTTGGACGAAAAAAATTACGTAATGCTAATACCAAATCACTAATAGTTTAAGGTTAAGTTGTTACCAGATGAACAAACTTACAATAAGACGTTTAACACCAGTCAATTTCTATATAACCTTCTTGTAATGTCATCTTGTGACGAATGGCAAGAACTTATCTGTACACCGAATATATATTTAACGCAGAATTTGGGAAGGGGGATTAGATTGCATATCTGTTCAATTATTGCTTTTAATTTTATGTGTATAACTACTTCATTCCCACCTAATCCATATTGTTCATTGTATTAAGTTAGAGTGTTTTATCAAATATATGTTTCAAAAGTAGTGCTAATTGCATAACAGTAGAGCGCCGATTATCCGAACCCTTATTATCCGAACGTCCAATTATCCGAACTATGTCAGAATTCGTTTTTTTCCCTTTTTTTTTTCAAGTTTAGAACTTTTTAACTTATCGACAATTCTTCTAAATTCAGAAGAATAAATAATATCCACTACATTTAATGACCATATTTAATTCACAACCTTTTTAGCAGTTTTCTTATAGTAGCCATACACACAGTTAAACCTACATACCCTTTTGGCCCTCTTCAACTTAAAATTATTTTCCAAGAATGCGAGCTTCATTATGACAGTCTAGAACGTCAAAATGATGCTGATCCAGTTCAGTTGATTTAGTTAAAAAGAATAAAGGCTGCTCAAAAAAGAGCATCTTCTTTAAAACAAAAGTCTTTACTGGATTTCTTTTGCAATGGAAAATAGACAAAGAAGGTTTAAATCGGTAATTGACAAAAAAATTCAAAATGGGAAAAAAAGGAAGTAAATAAATAAAAACGATAGAAAAATTGCTGAAAAAAAATTTTTAAACACGCCAGAGCTATTTTAAATAGTACTGCCTGTTCTAAGCCTGGAAAAAGTGAGAAAAGGGAAGTTAGTGCATAAATAATAATCATTTAAACTAGATTTTAAACAACTTTCCAATTATCCGAACTTTTCATTATCCGAACCACGTTCGGTCCCGAGCAGTTCGGATAATCGGTGCTCTTATTTTCAAAATCATCAAGACATATATTCACATTTTGATAACAAATAATTTTAATGCTAGCATAATTCTCATCAATTTGCCAAAATCATGACTTATTTATGAAATGATTAAATAAAAGAATAACTATAAAACTTTCAGGGATCTGTTTAGAAGAAGACCCTTCACAAAATATCTTTTCATAAAAACGGACCCTTCACAAAATATTTTAAGTTAAAAACGGACCCTTCACGAAATGATTTTTCTTTTAATCGGACCCTTCACGAGAGACACTCAATAGACATTTGCGTATTATTGTAAATGGGCAGGAAAAATTGACTGCTGCTGAGTGTTCAGCTATTAATAGATATTTTCAAATTTACTGGCAATCTGATATTTTGTTAATCATGTTTTTCTGTTTTAATTCTAAGGCTAAGTTTGATCTCATTTCATTTATATTATGTACCTTAACCTCTTTGAAGTCAAAAAAAATTTATGAATTCCGAATGTAGTATTCTAAGAAAATATTTCTACTTCTACAAACATTATGTGTACATTCTTATTGATATTCAATTATATTTTTTTTGTAAATAAATAATTGAGCAATATATTATTCATAAAATTAATTGAAAAAATATTATGTGAATAAAAATTAACTTATGTCAATCTTTAAGAAAAAAAATTATAAATTTAAGAATTGTTTAATGTGTAACACATTAGAAGTGATACATAACTAAGTTGTGTTTTTTAAAATATGTCAATTGAATTATTAAAAATGTGAGTGGTTTTGTTTCAATTTTTTATCTGAAATGAATATTCTGTGTTGTGCAGTATAGGCTAAATACCAAATATTTGTATGCATGTTGCTTCTCTACTTTAGTAGCAGCAATAGCTGTTAAATTTTGAAAATTTTATTTTTTTATTATAATTTTTACAGTGTTGAGTATAATCTTGTATCTATTTACAATTTAAAAACTCCTTGAAAAGGTTTTTTGCAATGACAAGACCCTATTTGCACAAATTCTCAAAATAGGACCCTGGTTAAAAGAATGTGACTTAACGCTTTTTTTATATTCTCAAATTACGAGTAATTTTTTTCACAATTTTACAAAAACAGGACCTTTCACAAAATGTCTGAACAGACCCCTGACTTTAAAAAAAATTAAAGTAGAAAACTCCTTTTAACTGTTCTTTACCTAATGCACCCTTTCTAGTAGACATCTAATATTGTAGAAACCAACTCAACATATTACATCTGCAAAATGTGTAAATTATTTCTGTGAGTAATGTTTTTGTTCTTTCAACCTTTATAGCTTACATTTCAATCCATACTGTCTTTGTTGAGGTGGGCTTGGCAATCATTTAAGGCGAATTACTGTGAAGCAATTCTTGGATCATCTGTGCCTGCTCTTGCTGCCCTCTTGGATTTAGAAAGATTAGAGTACATGTGTTCTGCTTGTCTCCGCTTATTAAAAACATATATCAATGAAATTTATCCAAATGGACGTGAGTTCTTTCTTTACTTTACTTTTTTTAATTAAAATATTACATTCATTAAGACGCAAAAAAAATTTATGTATGAAAAATTATATTTTATGTAAGAAATAAAATGCTGCATATAGGCATCATTCACCAAATCAATAAGCAAACCATTTAGTTGAACGCTTGTTTTTTTTTATGAAATTAGTTTTTTATTTTTATTTATTTACTGGCTTCCAACTTTAATCCATCATATAAACATATCATAAATTTCAAAAGGAATAATGATACATTTTCAAAAAATTTCATGTGTCAATAATTGTTTCAAGTTAAAAAACTTAAATTGTTTAAAAACTTTCTCTACAGAAAGTGCTTATTTGGATTGAATTACTAATAACTTATGGATGTCTTAAGAACCCTTGACAACTGCAGAAAAATGAAATAACTGAACAATATACGTTGAAGTGTTAATAAAAAAAATATTTATTGAATATCGTGTTTGCTCACCGTTTTTGCCGAAAATGGGTTAAATGTGTTTTATTTTGCAGCCGCATCTAGGAAAACATCATCCGAATCATCACGACTGGCGGAGTGTGTTGCTGATGTGAGAGCTTTACTGCAGCACATTTTGTCCGACAGGCTACCGAGTGCACAAGCGAAATCTTCCTTTTCGAGCATTCCAACCTCTTTGTCATCCATGGCCTTGTTGGTGAATAATTTGCAGACTGTCCTGGAAAATTGTCATGAAACTTTCTTGTCTTGTTACCATGCATTTTATCCAAGTGCTCAACTCAAGTGGAGAGGATTGTGTGATCTGCTTCTAACAATTGATGTGGTACGGTTAATTTTTATATTTTGATCTTATAGACAGATTTATGTGGCTACTTTTTAAATACAGCTATAAACCACTGAAGCAAACCAAAATTGATTGACTTAATACTTTCAATTTTTTTGAAAGTAACATACATGCCAAGTCTCCTGTTTTTTTAACAAAGACTCCTATATTTTATGACTGTCACTTGTTTATCCGTGTATATTCTCAAATTTCTCCGTATTTGTTGAAGAAATGATTTAAAAAAATTTTGGCCATAAAATATCCGCTGATGGCAAAAATACTTCTTATTCCTCAACAGATGGTGCTATTGCTAGTATTGCAGTATGTTGAGTTTTTATATTTTAAGTAATTATAAATAGTAGTTAAAAAAAATCTTCTTTAGATTAAGATTTATATACATATTTTTTACTTTGGGCATAATATAAGCACTGATATTTAACAATTTTGAATTTCTCTTTTTGACTTAGATCATGTATCAAAACTTTATACTCGTAGCCTAAAAAAAGTTGCTAGTAAAATCTGCGTTATTTTATTTCTGTAATGCTGGCAGGTATGAAATATTTATATATGAAAATATTTTTACATTTCTTAATACAGTAGGGAACCGATTATCCGGAACGATCGGGACCATCGCTATTCCGGATAACTGATTTTTCCGGTTTTCTGAATCGCTACAAAAAGCCGTTTTTTTTTTTAATTGTTAAACCCAACTGAAAAAAAATATTTGGAAATAATCTTAAAAAGAAGAAAAAACGAAGTAATACACTAATGATTATTTCCAAAATGATAGTAAGGTAAACATCTTTCCAAAAAGAAAGAGAAATCCTAAGATCTTATGAGGAAAAAAAAATTTTTCTTTTTAAAATGGCGGGAAAATTTATCGAATTTCGTTCCGGTTTTTTGGTTTTCCGGTTTTCTGATTTCCGGATAACGGGTTCTGTACTGAATTTATATTTAAAAATTATATTGATCTGTTCCACAGATATATTGCCATGTTTAGTAGGTAAGTTTAACGATTGTGAATTGATCTAAATGACACAAAATACTATATCATGCAAACCGTCATGTTTATGATTTTCTACTGCATGTGTTGGATGTTTTTTGAAGACCGCTAGTTAATTTGTATATTCTATTATGTATGAATTTAATGGGCAACTTTGTTATAATCTAACAAATTAAAAGAATGCTAGAGTTTCCACTAAAATTCTTCGTGCTACCCATGCTTTACTAAAACCACTTTTTTTAATATATTCTCTTACACGGTTACATTAGGTATCACCTGCCCAGATAGCACTGTCACCAGATTGCAACAAAAAAGTGACAGTCACAGAGTCTTATGTGACTTTTGTAACATGTATGTGTGAATCTTAAAAGGTTACTATGTCTGTCTGTGGTGATGTCACCAAGATGTTAAAATGATACCACAATGAAACATATGATTGTCACAGTGTCACATACTCATGTCTTATATTAGTCACACATTGACCCTATTAATATGTAAATGTCATAATTTCCTCACATTGTCACTCTATTGAGACGTGAATAAGTCACATCTTCGACACTCGGTGATTCTATTAAAACATAAATATATCACAGTTTTTTCATGCCCTGTCACAGTTTTTTCATGCCCTGTCACACTAAATATGTCACATCTTCGTCACACTCTGATGTTACTGCAACAACTAAATTTCTCCATGTGATGTTGAGATTTAGTGACATCAAAAGACATCAAAATGTGTCACAAACCTATACATCAGCTTATTTAAGCCTTGTAGGTTGCTTATTAAATTTATATTCATTTATGAAATTAAAATAATTTATTTAAATCAAAAATAAATTTGTCAGTAATTTTTTTAAATATATTTAAAAATTATTGAAATTTTCTTATTGTTTATTACACATATAATTTAATCTCTCAGTTATTTATAAATTATAATCAGTTATTATACTTAATGCTAAATGAATAATATTCTTTTGAAAATTTATCAACATTTCTTTCTGAAAAAAAATTTTGTGTAGTTCTAACATAACCAATATTAGTTTAAATGTATGCAAAATATAATGAAGCATTTTATTTAAGATTTAAAAATTACAAATCAAATACAAAATTATTGAAATTATTGACCTAAAAATTTGTTATTTTTCTCCCTCTGCAATATTTTTGAAGAAAATAAATCACATCACAGAACTGTTTGTAGTTATAAAAGTTGTGTAAAATTTGAAATTTTTAACATGAATCTTAAAGAAAATATAAGCATATATATCTATTTTAAAAACATAGAAAAACATCCAAATTCTTCCTTCAAAAAGGTAATACAGTGGCCACCATTTATTAAAATCACTTTCGTTTCATACTCTTTTGATTTTATTAAGCAGCTGATTTTATTAAGAGGCGATTCAACATTTGAAGAAAAAAAATCACATTTTTACGATGCATTCAAAATGCACAAATTTAAAAGCTGAAATAATGACAATATTAATGCTTTATTTTAACTGATTTAATTATTTTAATAAAGTTCAACCCTATAAAAGATTAAATTTACAAAAGTTTTGCAAAAATCCGATCAATGGTTGCTCGAGTTGCAGAAAATTAACTTTTCAACATCGTTTGAGAGTTTATAGAAGTTTTCATAGTTTTCGATATTTCCTCCTCTTTGTTCTAAAACTTGCTGCAATACATTAAGCGCTTTTCTGACTTCCATTGAAGATGGCACTGATGAGTTTATTTCATCTTCTGAGTCTGATTCCTCCATTTCTTGATTGGAAATAACTTTGCAATTTTTGATGTCTGTAACAATTTTAGAATCAGATTTTTCTCCTGATGTTTGCAGGTTATCGTCAATAGCTACGTAACGTGAAAAATTCTCGTCCATTTCATTTTCTTCATTGCTGATCATTTCTTCGAAACAGTTATGAGCCCCATCTCCATTGAAGCTTCACGTTGACTACATTTAGGAAGCTTATCATAGTTTTGCAACACTTCGAATTTATCTTTAAGACACAAATCCTTCCTTTTCGGCATGATGATAAAATTTAACACGAAACGAACTTAAAAATGATATGTGCTCAAACTTACTCAAAAGGCTTAAATAATGTGGAACATGTGCACAGACAGTTTTTGGAAATCTATTCATGTTCTCTGTTAATATAAATAACAAAAGAAACTACTCTCCCTTCTATGGTTCATTCAATATAAAGTAAGATAATTATTCGACCCCCTGTTGAGTGAGATAGGTTTCTCCAAACTTCATTCAAGTCAAGGAATTAACATTGATAAATTGATTTCTATGAACTCGCCGCTTACCACCCACATTTTTCCTTAACTATTATGTATATCACCGGGAAGTGCTAACCACACCTGTTTCACAGGTTTGTGAGTAACTGTTGCTTCTTCTAAAAAAATATTTAAACTTCGAAAAAATAAAATTTTATAAATAAGAACAAAAAAAGCTGAAATATTGCACTTTTGATTTATTATGTAGTCAAAATTTTGATTTTAAAAAGCAGATGCATTGATTTTATTAAAGGATGTTTTTAACATGTATTAATATTGAAACGATTCGGTTCTTGCCGATTTGATTTTATAAAGCGGCTGATTTTATTATCCGGTGATTTTATTAGCGGCGGGCACTGTATTGAAATAAATATAGTTAAATATTGTTGGATATTTGGACAGAGGATAGTTTACATTAATCTTTTTTTAGGGTTTATCTTATACTACATTTAATCTTTCTTCTGATAAATTATGCCAAAAAGGAATGGATCAATAAGGAGTTTTAAGGAATGGATCAATATCGTACGGCAGGGATGGCGAACCAATGGCACGCGACACAATATTTTGGGCACTCCACCGATCACAATTATTGTTACACTATGAAGCATATGTAACAATTAAATTAAAATTCACAAAAAATGAACAAAATAATAAACAATATCAATAAAAAAAATTAAAAATTAATGCTAAAAAAACAATTAATAACCGTAAAAAACAAGCTAGCAATAAATAACTAGCAAAAAAAGAAAAATTAACAGTTCTGCTTAAACTAACATCTTACAACCTAATATAAGTTATTTGTCATCTAATCTGCAACAACACAAGTCACACTAATGTTACTTGAAAGTTATGCGTATAACTGAGATATTGCAAAATGTATTTTTTTTCAATGTAAATAAAGAGTTTTAAGTTGATAGTATTTAGTATTATTATTTTCCCAATAATCACGAAGTCAAAATTATTTGACGGCACGTCTATGACCTCATTAAGCAATTTTTGTAGAGAAAATGGCACGTTGGTGTAAAAAGGTTCGCCACCCCTGTCGTACGGCAATTCATTTTAAATTATTATTAACAAATACACTTACAAAACATGTTCTTTTTTATAGTCATGTATGAAGGCTTTCGGAAATATTTAAACAAAACATAAATATTTAACAACACATATTTAATTGTAAGAAATTAGTCTCATAAAATTGCTTACAAGACTTATAAAGGATGTAAATTACCATTCCGTATGGAATGGATAACTTTAGGGAGGACAAGTCACATAAAAATATGCTTCAATGAAACAGGTTCGATAAAAAGTTGATATAAGAACAGAATGAGAGAAGTCGTAAGAAAATGCTCCTGGAACTTTAGTAAGATAAGTCATGAAATACTTTTCTATGTGACTTCCAAGGGATCAAAGTTTCTCAGTGCTTTAGTACTCAGGGGTCTGTTTAGAAGAAAGTTGGGTCTGTTATCGGACCCTTCACAAAATATCTTTTCTTAAGAACGGACCCTTCACAAAATAATTTATTGTTTAATCGGACCCTTCACAAATATGTTTATTTTCATTATTGTTTTGTTGATCTAATAAAATAAACTTTTCCTGAGGCTGAAAAAAAAAGAAAGAAGACGGTTCGAAACTAAGTTTTCCAAGTTTCCCTAAGTTTAAATTCCAGGTGTAGTATTCTGAAAAAATATTCCTACATTTACAAACATCATGTGCATTCTTATTAATATTAAATTATTTATTTTTTTTGTAAATTAATAATTGACCAATTTATGATTCATAATCAATTAATTATTCATAGAATTAATAGATTAATGTGTAATAAAAATTGATTTCTGGAAATTTTTTAAATAAAATATTTTAAATTTAAGAATTGTTTAAGTTTACTTAATGTGTAACACATTAAAAGTGTTACATAATTAAGTTGTGTTATTTAAAATATATCAATAGAAATTATAAAAAATGTGAGTGATTTTGTTTCCATTTTTCATCCGAAATGAATAATCTGTGTTGAGCAATATAGGCTAAATACCAAATATCTGTATGTTGCATTTCTAATTTAAAAGCTGCAGTTGTTGAGAATAATCTTGAATCTATTTACAATTTAAAAACTTCTTGAAAAGGTTTTTAGCAATCTTTGCAATAACCCTTGTGCCCTGATGGCACAAATTCACAAAAGCAGGTCCCTGGTTGAAAGAATGTGACTTTATGCTTAATTTATTTTCGGAAATTAAGATTAGTTTTTGTCACAATATTTCAAAAACAGGACCTTTCACAAAATGTCTGGACAGACCCTGGTACTTGTAAGGATTATTTGTGACTACCAAGTAAAAAGTCACATAAACAGTCATCACAATAAATTGTCTTGGAGGCTTTTATGTGGCACAGTAACATCAAAGTCATATTATGACCTTGGGGCAATTCAAAGCAGTCATACCTTTGACTGTGACTGTTTTTAACTTTATTATGACATCACTGTGACAATCTGTGCGATTTCTGGAGAAAGGCTTCTGTTCGTCAGTAGCATAATTTGCCGTATACACTTTATAATATGTTGGTATTTGTTGCCCTGTAGTAGTCTATATTTAAAAAAATATTTATCTTTATAGCCTTGGGTGGAAGATTCTGTGGAAGGTGACCATCTTTTGGCAGCTATTCTGGCATCTCTGTGTGCTTCATCTATTCGGCTGACGTCTACACTGCCTGTTACCTTAAAACACGAACCGGTAACCGACTCCTCGAGTGACTCGTCCAGTGACTCATCACCTATTTCACCTGAGCAAGTGCCAGATTGTAGTTCTAATGGTCAAACTCAAGAGATGTCATCCGGAGTTTACGGTTCAGAAACTTATCGATATCCCGTACTGGTTGATTGTATTAATCTAAGAACAGAGGTAGGTTCATTTCTAATCTAGAACTTCAGGGTAACAACATAACTGGAAAATCAAGGAATAGAGATAAACAGAATCAGAAAATTTATAAATCTAGAAAAAATAGGGAATTTAATTCAGGCCTAATTGTATTATGGGTGTGCCCTGGAATTCTGGGTTTTTTGTACCATTCTTCCAGATTTTGAAACTGAAAGCAGGGCATGTAATTTTTTTCATTGGTTTTGATGAATTCTGTGCATTTCAAGTGTTTCTGTTTGAAATATTTCTTCTTTGAAATGAGAATATAGATGGCAGCACAATGCAGCAATCACAGGATTAAAAATTAATATTTTATGTTATTAGTAGTTTAGTTCTCTAAATGTCTGTGTACGTATATTAGGGTGTCCAAGAAACTCAAGACCTGTTATAAAATTTCAATCTGGAAAAAAAATCATTTAGAGTTCTCTCTTAAGTTCGCCCTAAACTTTGAAAAATGAGGGGAAAAGAAACAATATTTTACGTATGTTTTTAAAATACGTTTCAGTTGGAATGTAACATGTATTATGTCATTTTGGTCAAATGTACCTTATTAGTCATATTTAGTGAAAAAAAATATGTAAGAAATATTAAAGACAAAGTAGAACTTTTTTCTAGATTGTTATTATATTTGTTTTCAAAATTCGACTTTGATTTTCTACCCTTGATACTTAAATTTCATACAAAGCTCAAATGTTGGAGGGAGGCTCAAAAAGAGGCATTTGTTACAAATTCTGATCTGTAACTAAAGAATAAATATATCGATGTGGTATATTTCTTTCCCTTATTTGTTTGCAATTACAGCATAACAAGTGAATGAAATTCTATTGTTTTAATATGGTGCAGTAGAAAATTTATTGATCGTTTCTGGAGGCACCCTTCATTACAAACGATAGATATGAAAAAACAGTGAATTCGGGTCAACTAAGAATATCAGTTAAAAACTAGAAAATGTATGAAAAATAATAAATTTCCAAAAAGTATGAAAAAAGTTTTAGTTAAAAAAATTTTTATGAAAATAAAATTTGAAATAAATCCTGTAACATGTTTTATTTCTAAACTGTTAGCATTAGTTTACATCAGGGTTTCTTAGCCTATAGTTCATGGACCCCTTAGGGGTCCATGGGTCATATTTTGGGGACCAACTCAACAATGGAGGCAACTGAGTAATTACAAGCATTCTTATTGAAAATACCACTTTGGGAAAATAGAATTCAAAACGCAAACTTTCAAATGTTGGACAAATTGCTTTCTAAAATGGATGTCGGCAAGATAATTTGTCTCTGAATAACTTGAAAAATGAAATCTGTGAACACCTGGAAGTACTTAACGTTTCATTAAAAAAATATTTCAACTTGGTTGAGATAAATATAAAAGATGAGTTATGGATTCGTAATCCTTTTCTTTGTGATATTGACTGTGTCGATGATATGAACCTTGACTAAGATGAGCTTATTGATCTTAGAACAAATCCTTGCTAAAAATGGATTTAGATTCAAAAACCCTCGGAGAGTTCTGGTGTTCTGTGAGAGAAGCCTACCCATTGCTTGTAAAGCGAGCTGTGGCAGCTATAATTCTGTTTGCTGCAGTGTATCTTTGCGAAGCTAGATTTTGCATACTTGTGACAATGAAAACAAAACATTGAAATCGAGTGAATGTTGTACATGATATGTGCGTTGCTTTGTCAAAACCAACCCTCAATTCAATTTATTAATTAAGGAAAAGCAGCAACAACCTTCACATTAAAAATTTTAATTTTAAAAATTTGTTTGCTATTAAAATAATGAAATTAAATATTTTCTAATAATTGATGTTTTTTGCTATTATTTTTTTCCACAGGGGTGTGGTCCGTGACATCTTAAAAATTTTTAAAAGGGGTCCATTTTACCAAAAAGGTTAAGAACCACTGGTTTACGTGATATAGTGTGACATATGATAAGGTAGATAAGGATGTTATGAATTGTGACACTTAGTGACAAAAGAGAGGAGGATGCAGAAAAAAATATGACATCGTCTATGAACTGCCCCTTAAATATTCTCTACTTCGGAATTCTTTATTTCCTTATGGCTTTTAGTATTTTTGAATTAGTTTAACTTGTAATAGTTTTGATTTTTTTTTTTAAATCTCTGTGATTCTTGCAAATATAAATGATGCTATTTCTTTCCATGGGTTGGAGTTTAGAGTAGGCTCTGCTGGATTTTCTATCTTAATCTGACTAAAAACGTCATTGTTGAATTTGTGTTGTCTATAATATTTCAACATATTACTTAATAAAATGAAATCTTGATTCAAAATTGTTCTGAATTCAAATGTTTGACTCTATCTCTATATAATTACAGAGAGAAGGTTGCAATCCTGGTCCTTGCAGTTTTAAAGAGGTTCTGGACAGGTTATTAGCTATTGTGAAACAACCGCTCGATGCCATGTTACAACAGGTAAGTTGCAACCTACTCCCTGTGATTTTCATGTTTTTCAGGAGTGATTGTATTCTGGGGGTATCACGATATTCCAGGTTTTTTGTATTATCCTTCTGGGTCTAAAAATTATGAGCAGGACATATGATTTTTCTGGGAATAATGCGTTTCTCAAGACCATTGGTTCTTGGACTTCCACTAATCGAAAACTTACAATCCGATGAAATTTTCGCTAATTCCCGCTAACAAGACGCTTGCGTACACACAATTATTTTAGTTTGGCGGATTTTTTACCATTTTGAATGTTTAAAACTTTGCTGGAATTCGCTAGTGTCACGATTCCTATTCACACGGTTTGCATATCATTGCATTTTCCTCATTTAAGGTACACATTGCGATTTGTATTCACATTTTTAAAAATTTTACATAGTGATTCGTACTCACACAGTTTTAAAAATCCAACATCGCGATTTCACATTCACACACATTTAAAAGTTCGACATCGCGATACTTGTAGGAACTAAGATTTTTTTTAAATTAGTTACTAAGATTTTTTTTAAATTAGTGATATTCCTCATTGGTAGGAATATTTATCTATAAATTTTATTTTTAAAAAAAGGAATTTGTTAAATACGAAACGTCTATGGTATGTAAATTTAGTATCTTGATATCGATTTTTTGCACATAAAATTTTCAGGGTTTTTCACTTTCTTTCACAATCACCCATGTTTTTAACCGTTTGTTGAGAACAAAATTTTAATTACAGAAAATGCATATTCTGTGGGCCATGCAAGAATATTAGTTTCATCTGTTTTTTCTAAAGTTTAATATTGAGACTTCACAGTTCTCAAAACCTGGCAGCACAACTTTAATCTCTGGCAATAATTATGTTTTACTTCAATTAACTGTGAAGTTTTAGAGTGAATTTATTATTTTACCTAGTATCAGAAATTTTCATAAACTATTGCATAAGTTTACTGTAAGTACTTTAAAGAATAATTTTTCTATCCAATAGAGGTTTGAAGTGTTAATTGAGCTAATGTAACACGCCGAAGAAAAAAAATTGGTTAGATGTTTACAAATAAAAATAAGATAATAAAGTTTCAATAGGACAGCAATATCCTTAGCAAGTTACACCACTTTAGTGTGTGAAAGATTCGTATTAAAAAAAAGTAACTTAGTGTTATCATGTATGTTGAAATGTAACAAAAAATACTAGGCTTTTATTTAAACAGAAAACAAATTAAGTAGGTTAAACCGACTAGTGGATGAACAATTAAGTGCTGCTTGTTTTTGAAAAATTCATAACATTTTTGTGATGTTTCTCTTTTATGGGAAATGCAGAGCGACCATTGATGAATATATAATATAGTATGTATATTTGGTGTTTTTCAGGAAAGTATTAAGCATTCTTCCAAGTTAATCACCAATGCATGTGCCTTTATAGCAGTGATTGTTGCAGAGTTATCATATCAATCTTCAGGAACTGTGGTAAGTGTTATTCCAAATAAAAATTAAGCTTGAACTCATTCATGTTCAAGTTGCTGTTTTTTTACAATAATTGTATACATTAATTGTCTTGAAATCAGCTAGAAAATTCATTAAAAAATGCCTTTTTGTTTTACTTTTAATATGATGTCTAAAAACTCTTAAAATTTAAATCGTGTAAGATTCAATGAAAAACACAAAGTTTTCGTTCAACTTTCTTTAGTAAAATTTTGTCTGAGTTATTAAATTTGCTTATTAATAAAAATTTGTCTCCTCTATTCATTTTTATATTAGATTTCATTTGTAACTCTGAGATTTGGTTACAGTATAAATTTTTTGCATAATTATGATGATTGATTACATAATATTGACTTTTGATGAAATATAACCATTTTCTGCATTTTTATTTTTAATTTTACCCCTTATAAACTTTTTATTTTTTATAAATTTTTATTGTTGCAGAATTATTTGCAAATGTATTAAATAAATTTGCAGGAATATATAGGATTTACAGGAATGTAAGAAATGTATTGAAAATTGCAATGTTAGTTTTGCAATTACATTTCTTTTTCCTGTCATTTAATTTTACAGATTTTAATGTTAAAACTGCAATATATTTTTAAAAAAATTGCCATAATTTGTGGATGTATGCCACACTTACAAAATTCCAATAAAATTGTGAAGTGTTTAATCAGAAAGGCTACACCATTACACACACTGAACAAAATTTTACTATATGAAATATCGGAAACTTAACGCATTTGTTACTAATTGTGCATAAAATGAATTGTTAATAGTTTAAAATCATTACAATTATTCTTAAATATACTATAAATGAATATATACTATATATATACTATATTATTTTAAATCAGAAATGATCTTACTCATAACTTTTCAAAATTATACAAAACAATTGTAAAAGCATCATATTTGTAAATACTAATTTAAAATATCAAGATTATGCGAAAATCAAATGATTAAACATCAAAAAATAATTTAAGTATGATAAATTTTTTGCTTAAAGTTGTATAATTTAGAATACATGACTTAATTGTAAATGCATATATTTAATACATGATTGAAATACATTTATCTTAACATACCAAATGATTAAACAGCTAGAAACTCTTTAAATAAATTTAAAAAAATAAGTAACATTTTGCACAAAATTGGATCATACAGATCAATCGCATTCAAATTACTAATTTTAAATAATAAAAATTTAAACCTATTATGTTCATTATGTATGTCTAAAATATTCATAAGCTTCTGATTATCAGGCGCATGATGATCTAATTTTCTCACTATCTGACATAGTAAAAAATTAACAAAAATAGGAGCAGACTGTTTATATATCTTTTTAATTTTGTGTAGCCTATCAATAAACTTTAAGAATTTTTACATTAATTGTTTTTTTAATTTATTTGTTTTATTTATTTAATTTATTTATTTAATCATATATGTAAAGTGGTGGTGGCTATGGGGATAGAGCGCTTGCCTCCCAATAACAGCAGGTCAGTTCAAATTCCGCACCAGGCTCGCACCAGCTACAGTACTGACGTAAATATCCTCAGTATAGACTAATGTTGGGTTAGAGTCCGGGAGAGGTTTTCATAGTTTTCCTCTCCTTGTAACGCAAATGTGGGTTAGTTCCCGTAAAAAGTCCTCCACGAAGACAAAATTTCTCCCAATATTTGATTCAGGAGTTCTCTTGTGGATTGGATTAAAAAATTAGCAGGGCTGCAGAATAGCTTTAAACCCTAAATTGGGGTGGCTATTCAACGACGGCTATAAATATTGTGGGTGTACCACGGCTATAAATATCATGTGTACCCTGTATTTTTAATTACATAGGAGAGTGAGTGCTTCCACCACCATTTAGATAGTTGATAATCTACTGTTTTTTTTTCGTGCTGTCATTTAGTGTTATTTACTCAGGTTGTAGATGTTAGAATGAAATAAAAATAAGCAGTTGCATGCCTAGTGTGTCAGAACACTTTGAAGAGACTTATTAAGTTTTGCTTTCCTTATAGTATCACTATTTTAAAATTTTTGCAGCTGGACATGCATGGTACAGGTGGTCAAGTATTGCACATCACGCCTTCTCGCTTCACAAAAGTGAGTCAAAACAGGACGTGGAACACTGGCAATGGTTCCCCTGATGCAATATGCTTTAGTGTTGACAGGTCAGGAATCTTGATTGCTGGAGTCACTGTTTATGGAGGAGTGGGTAATGAGTGGCATTATGAATTGGAACTTTTAGATGATGTAAGTATTTACAATCTAGCCCTTTTTTCCGTCTTGTTTGAATTAGATACAGACGAGTAACCGAGAGATAATACACAGGGGTCTGTCAAGCTTTTTATGAGAGGTACCTATTTTGTGAAAATTTAGACATTATTTGTGAAAATTATAAAATTATATTAAAAATCAATGCAAAAATATGGTTATAAAATAATAGTACACTAACACAATAGCAAAAATAATTTTGCTATTGTCAAATTTTGGACTTAAAATTGTATCAAAATTAAAAGATTTAGACAAATTAAAAAAAACATGCCTTTAACAGTACATGCACAAAAAGTTATTTTTATTATGAGAATATCTCCGATGAGGTCATATCGAAAAAGTTTCACAGGGAAGGAAATGTTTCATAAAAAAAATAAAGGTCTCTTGGAATAAATTTAGAACAATGTTCGAATTTCAATTTTCTGTAAATTTTACAAAAGGAATGCCTCAGCATCTAATTTAAAAAGAAAGTATTTCAAAAGCCACGTATTTTCAAAAGCGTACTTTTCACATTGTTCTATTCAACATTTTCACTATTTATTCAACCACAATCTGTTTTGGCCTACCATCAGTCTGCTAGTGTACTAATGAACCTATCCTTTTACATGTTTGATGAAATACTTGCGAGTGCTCATGTGCATATAGTGAGTTGGGTTCAGTGAGATTATTGCACTCTCATGCGCAACTTTTGCTGCACTTTGCCATATATTTTCAATTTCAAGCTTCATTTTCTACCCTCTGAAATCGAACTGAAAGATCTCGATCATTTTTTAATGGCTAATATAATCAAGAAAAGAGTTCTTTGTCAGAAACTAGTTATTTTATCATGATCATGTAAAGTCTTTGAAAATTATTTTGCATTTTGTTAATGTATATCGTGCTTAAAAATATTTTTGAGTGCTTTAAAGGCAGGTGCTTATTTTTTGTTAAAAGATTTAGCTACGCATCCTGTATCAAAATTCAGGAAATCTTCAAATTGAGTTGATTTTCTTGAGAACTACAACACTAATTTTAATAACATTTTATTTGAATATAAGCTTATAATTATTAATTTCTAACACATCTGATTACTTTCTTGTACTATAAATATAATTTAACCGTTTTAGCAAAATTGTGGAATTGTTGATCCTTCCCATACTCAGAGGTGGAAAACATTAGCTATTGTAAGAGGAACATTTGGACCCGAAGATTGTTATGGCGATGTAGCAGAAATCAAATTTGAGAGAGCAGTTCCTATTAAGGTTTGTAACCCTAAATTTTTCTTGTTTTATTTATCTTTACTTGTGCCTATTTATATACCAGATAGTCATTCGATTAAAATGTGTGGCATATATTCAAACACATTATAATTCAAATAATAAAGAATTTTTGTGATGCGGAGGACTCACCTATGCATGGTATTGTTACTATTCAGGCAATTTAAATTTAAAAAATGAATCATTAAAATATGAATTAAATTTGTAAGAGGAATTTTTACATTAAAGGATAGATCAAACATTTATGAGGTTTAACTATTACAGCATACTATGAACTAAAAAAACATTTTGCTGTATGATTGTACATCACTATTATATGATCCCTCGCAGAAGTCTGTTCAGACATTTTGTGAAAGGTCCGGTTTTTGTAAAATTGTGAAAAAATTACTCGTAATTTGTGAATATAAAATAAGAGTTAAGTCACATTCTTTCAACCAGGGTCCTGCTTTTATGAATTTGTGCAAATAGGGTTCGGTTATTGCAAAAAACTTTTTTAAGGAGTTTTTAAATTGTAAATAGACACAAGATTATGCTCAGGACTGTAAAATTAAATAAAAAAAATTAAATTTTCAAAAATCAGCAGCAATTGCTGCTTCAAAATTAGAGGTGCAACATTCAAACATTTGGTATTTAGCCTCTACTGCTGAACGCAGAATGTTCATTTTGGACGAATAAAGGAAGAAGCCTCTGCTGAAGACAAAACTTAATTCGTTTACATCTGTCTTTCTTGTTTTTCCCCTGGGAAGGGTTTATTCAATTAACAAAACAATAATGAAGATGAACAAATTTGTGAAGGGTCCGATTAAAAGAAGAATCATTTTGTGAAGAGTCTATTAACGGACCCAAATTTCTTCTACACAGACCCCTGCCTCGTCCCAGAAGAATCTCCAGGTTCGATGGTCGGTGCTTTCTGGAGAGAAAATTAGCTCAAAAAAACACTTTTCCTAATTCACGCTCCTTCATTTTTTTTCTTGTGTATTGGTTAGTTCAATGGATGAGCTGCTGTCTCCATTGCAGCTGTCTCCTTTGCAGATGGTATTCAATTGCTCATGGGAAACACTGATTCTGAGTAACAAATTTCGGGATCAGATAAAGCATCTTTTTTTCAACAACAAAAAAAAAAAATCGAAAGTCAGCTTGTAAACATCCTTTGTGTGATGATATCAGGAATCTCTTACTCTACTTGGATGACTCTGTTGCTAGGGAAACTCTCATACTATTGGCAACAGGCGCAGGTGTCATCCTCCATGTAGTGCATCTTAATCAGACAAAATTTATATTGAATAAAAATGTTATTTATAATTTAACTGTCAAACTTTAATCTGAAAATGTATATCCATCTGATACTTATCAAAATAGTGAAATCGGAGAAGCACGGCAGGAAGACGACCACCTAAAACTTTTAAGACAAGAGAGATGTCGTTATCTCACAAGGTGGTTTCCTCAACTGACGCCAAGAACAGCAAACCTCCTCTTGGTCACCATTAAGCAGAAAAGAATTGATACAAAAAAATCAATCAATCAATTTTAAATGTTAAAATGCCATCATGGTAAAATGTACTTGAACTGAGGAAATTACGTTGATTTAATTTAGATACTTTACATTTTGTCCAAAGGATGCCCAAACTAGGTTAAAACAACTAAGGTGTGGAAGTTGGATGTAGCAACATCACACTATGTATCAAAACTCTTGTGTCAGGGAAAATGTGGCAACTCTTTTGTTTTCTTTTTCTTTCTTTTTTTTCAATTGATGTATTATATGGGGAAAAAATTTAGAATACTTGCAAAGATATCATAGCTGGTTAGTCTTATTCACTGGTGTAACTTTTAAATGAAATTGGAAAGTTCAAAAGAGTGAAGCAGATTTTTTTAAGCCCTTTTTTTAAATTTTTTTTTTTACTCCTCGACATGTCAAAAAACATTTCTTGTAAATATTTCAAATACCTGGAAAGATAGTCATGATTTTACAAGATGCTGCACTATTATAAAATCTGTGTTAGATTAAAATTTGAATGTGTTTTTGATATGCTTCAATATCAAAAAATAATAATAATATTATAATACGGTAGATACAAAATAACAGGGTTGCCACTCCACAGGGAGAACAGGAAAAAACTGGAATATACTAGAGATGAATGTGTTCCGGAAAATTTCCAGATTTTTTGCTAACCGCGATGCAGAAGTTTCCAGAAATTAAAGGTCCAGAAGTTTCAAGAAATCATCAATCATATTTGTGTCTAAAAATTCTTATATATTTTATATGGGATTAGACATTAGACAAATTAAAANATCGAAAAATAAAAATAATAGTAATATTATAATACAGTAGATATAAAATAACAGAGTTGCCACTCCACAGGGAGAACAGGAAAAAACTGGAATATACTAGAGATGAATGTGTTCCGGGAAATTTCCAGATTTTTTGCTAACCGCGATGTAGAAGTTTCCGGAAATTAAAGGTCCAGAAGTTTCAAGAAATCATCAATCATATTTATGTCTAAAAATTCTTATATATTTTATATGGGATTAGACATAAAAGTAAACTTATGCACAATTATTCATTTAAATTATGCTGCATATAATTTATTTAGAATTTCATGTTTTTAAAATATCAATGATTTAAATTTATGAAGACATAAATTTTTTGAAATGCATCATTAATGAATTTACTCGAGAAATTTTCAGGATTTTTGAGTTGGGCTCACAATTACCCCTGATATACAGTGAATTAAAGAATCATTTAAAAAAAAAACGGGAAAATGTAGGAAAATTTGAATTTTTCCTTATAAACTGGGAAAATACAGGGAATATTTATTTCTTCTTTTACGAAATGTTGACCTCTCAAAGTGCAATCTATGGATTATTTATAGATAGTTTAGCTATGCAATACAATTTCATTTGCTTTATTATTATTTTTTTATGTATGTTGAACTGTTCTTTATTTGTCTTAGTTTTTCCAGAAATTGAAACTAGCACCTATTAGTTATCCTAATAAAGCTCACATATTTGCACAGTGATTGTGTCTTTCCTCTTAATATATTGTGTAGAATACATACAGGGAAAACACAGAAAACTTTTTTTCCAGATTTGAGGGAGAACCCTGAATAATTTCAAATTTTTCTGAAAACTGTTGAACCAGATTGTGACAAGTTTCATCACAAAGTACATTTTTAAAATTATTCCAAAAATCAGTTCTTTTTTTTTTTAAAAAATTTTTTAAAAAAAGGGGCAGTTTTGAAGAGCTAATACATAATTATTAAAAACTGGGAGTTCTAAGATGACTTTTAATCCAGCTAATCAAAAATTATTATTAATCTTGTGGAAAAATATGCACTATTTTACTATTCCACAAACCTTGAACCTGAAGCTTTAAACTTCCTTTCCTTTTTACTATAAAAGCACCAAACAAAAATCTATTGGAAAAAGGACTCATATGACATGCTTCTTTCTAAGAGAAAGGAATGATGTTTAATATACATATTTTTTGTTCTGTAGGAAAATGTGAAGTATGCCATACGATTAAGGAATCATGGTTCTCGAACAAATAATGGAGATGGAGGTTTATCTCAAATAAAGGGACCGGATGGTTGCCTTTTCACCTTTACCGATTGCTCTTTGAGTTTCAATGGCACAAACCATACAAGGGGACAGATACCACAAATTCTTTATTACAGGTACTATTGATTTCATTTTATTTTATAGCTGTCGTTGAACAGTGAACCCAATTTAGGGTTTACAACTACCAATGTTCAACTGCATAGCTATGTAATTTTGGAACCCAATCCGGAAGACAAGGGATTTCCTGGATCTAATATTGGGAGAAATTTGCTTTTGTGGAGGACTTTTTGATGTAAGTACGTTACATAGCATCTAATGCATCTGCGTTACATAGACAGGGTGCGTAGCATTTTTAAAAAGTGCTTAATGGTGCTTATTTTCAATTTTCATTTTTTTAAAAGCTCTTAAAGGTGCTTAATTTTCCCTTTTTTCAAAATGAGATTTTTCTTTACCATGTTGATTTTCGCTATGAATTATGCAAAAAGACACAGTTCACATTGCTCTATTCAACATTTTCACAATTAATTCAACCCCAAGCAATTTCGGCGTATTGTCAGTCTGTAGGGTTTGAAAATGCTATTTGTTTTATATGATTCAAAATTTCATGATTTTTGACAATTGTCAAAAACAATGCCAAAAGTTTTTTTTTTCTTGACATGACGGTTGAAACAAGATAAAACAGACAATTGTCAACAGAATTTCCAACCCTGCCTAATTATATTTTTTTAAAGTGCTTGAAAATATTTTTTGAGTGCTTGAAAAGTGCTTAAAAGGTGCCTATTTTTTGTTGAATAATTTGGCTACGCACCCTAATAGAAAGTAAAACCCACGAAGATCACACATGGTCAGCCTGACGGCAAGGGGACTCTAACCCATGATCCGTCTACCACTGAGGATATTTTGCATTTTGCGTCGGTGCAAGCCGAATGCGGGATTCGTATTGACCAGCTGTCGCTGGTATTCAAACCCAGTTCACCTCATTGGAAGGTAAATGCTCTCTTCCCTGAGCCACCGCGACTCTTCATTATTGCATATAAGTACTTTCCGAAGAAAAATAATAATTTACAAATTTTGATTATGCTACTAAATAGGATTTCTTTTTCTATTCCAGCACTCCTCAAGATATAGAAAATGTACAGAATTCACGTGAATTGGCTGAACTTCAAGCTAGACGAAATGCACTCTCCATATGTGAATCTATTGTAAGAACAGCTGTTGATCTCTTTTTGAAAGCCCAATGTGTAGATGGTATGTTATTCATTTCTATTCTGTTTATTTCATTAGATCAATTGTTTAATCTATTAAGATCTACTGATCTTATTCTTTTAAGGTCTCTATTTACTTATTGATCTATTAAAATCAATATGTTCAAATACTTTAACTATTTTTAATTTATTTCATTATTTGTCCTAGCAGAATATTTCCAAAAATAACTTTAATTTTGTGCTCTTGATACAATTGGTACCCAAAATAAAGTTCTTTAGTTTTGGGTTATTTATGAATGACAATATTATAGTATTTGTCTATTGCATATAATATTGCGGGAAATATTTCTTATTTACAAAAAGTAAAATACTTTATATAACTGTGACATGTTTTTTCTTATTTAAATGATTTACATAATAAACTAGTTCTCTTTTTACCAGAAGTGGCTGAATTAGTTTTTTCTATATAAGACACAAGCACCTGAAATATTTATGTCCGTATATGCTTTGCCATCAATTAAAAAGGAAAATCTTGCCTTCAGGATTTTTCCAATATTTTATAATAGGTCAAAAAAGATCTACAAAAAGATATTATTAAAAATTAGAGTCAAACTATGATCATGACGAAGATACTAACAACGACTTATCAAAAATTTGGGATATCGAAAAAAATAACAATATTTTTGACATTTTAATTAAAATAATAACTGATAGTATTGTAAATGTTAATAAACAGCATACTTGGAAACATTATTTTTAAAATGTAACCTGTATAAGTACTTTAAGCAAACAAGTAAAATGTATAAGACAAAAAAAAGGTAAAGATTTTAAAGTGCATTTTGAAGAAATTGTAAATTGAAAACAACCTTAATTTTTATGAAACGTTAGAAAAAAGTTTTTTTTTTTTTTAAATTTAAAATGAATCTAAGTATAAACCTTTTGAGTGCAGGAAAAAAGAAAATGTTACAAAATTCATTGAAATAGTCAACACTGGAAACATCCAGAAACCCAACTAGAAATCAAAATTCAATGCTTTCATGTCAGAAGGAGTTTTAAATTATGCTAATTTTAAAATAACCAAATTTTTGGAAATTTTGTTTTTGTTTCGGAGGTCACTCCTTGAAATCCATTAAATTATATTTTGTGTTTATAAAAGTTAAAAAAAATTATTTTAGAATTTTAAATAGTGGCGATTTTTTTATTTGTTAATTTTTTAATGATCATAAATTGGGCCCAAAAGTTTTAATTGTAGTAAGACTATTGAAATTAATTTTAAAAAAACACGCATATGGTTGACAAAAGTATTTGCTTGTCATAATTAAATAAATGAATTAAGGCATATTTCTAATTGCAAACTATTAGATTCCTAATACATAAATTGTTTTTCTTTTTTTTTTTTTTTNTTTTTTTTTTTTTTTTTTTTTTTTTTTTTAAAAAAAGATTAAGTCTGCAAGGTACTCTACTATCATTCTTCGTCTCATGCCAAACTAAATTATATATTATGAACAAAGAACCTCAACCAATGCTTATTGGTTTAATAAATAATACATTTAATGAATTATCTATTATATATAATTCTCTTATGTGGCTCCCAAATTTTGGCTGTATTTCTTTTCCGCCGGTGGCAACGTTTGCTTTGTTTTGTTTACGTTACTATTTCTCTTACACGGCGAATCGACCAATGATTGCCGCTAAAAATGTCACATGCCAAATCTAGCCGAGGTGGCTCAACATGTAGCTCTTTTAAAAACGGAAACTGAAATAACCAGAGAGCATCAGCTG